AATAAAGATTTGGTTGGACCACTAATCACTATTTTGGTCATTAAGTAGTTTTTAAAAGCCATAAAATTAGAATTCTCTTCTTAAATTTTTAATTTTCAAATCATTATAGACTCACAGAAGTACATGGAGTCCAGTAAATCCTTCATCCAGCTTCTCTTAAGGGTGACAGCTTATGTAACTCTAGTATAATATTTCAAAGCAGGAAATTTACATTGGTATACCACTCACTGGTAATAGACTAAAGACCTTATTCAACTTTATCAGTTTTCACCTGAACTCATTTTTGTGTCTGTGTCTCTGTGCTATGATCCCATGTATAGATTTGTGTGACTACTACCACAATAAAGATACAGAACTGTCCCATTATAAGAAAATCCCTCTTGTCATACCCACTCCTCAACCCTGTCCCTATCTCCTAGCTGCCATAATTCTGTTCTTAATTCTAAATGTTTTGTTGTTTTAAGAATGTGATATCAATGGAATCGTACAAAATGTAATTGGCCTTTTTTTTTCTTAGTAAGCATAATGCCCTTGAGAGCAATACTGCACATAGCAATAGTTATTGTTTTGTTTTTTTCTCACCCATATTCTCCTGTATGTACGGATATTTCAGTTTCTATAACCCTACTGGCTTGTTGAAGGACATATGTATTATTTCCAGTTTTTTGAGGTATTACAAGATAACTTGTTATAGACATTAGTATTATAGACTTTTTGTTTGAACATGAGTTTTCCTTTCTCAGATAAATACCCAAGAGTACAATTGCTGTGTAGCATGGTGAGTGTATGTTTAACTTTTAAGAAACTGCCAGAAGAAAACTTTGCAGGGTAGCTGTACCATTTCACATTCTCACCAGTAGTTGTATGAGAAATCCAGTTTTTCTTTATGCTCACTGACATTTAGTCTCTCTCTCTCTCTCTCTCTCTCTGTCTGTCTTTCTCTTATTTTGGCTGTTGTAATAGGTGTGTATTAATATCTCATTGGGTTTTAATTTACACTTTCCTAATGGCTCATGATGTGGAACATCTATTCATATGTTTATTTGCCGTACATTTATCCTCTTTGGTGAAATGTTTATTTATGTCTTGTTCATTTTTCTAATTAAATTGTTTATTTTGAGGTTTTTTTTTAATTAAATCTTTATTGTTCAGATTATTACAGTTGTTCCTCTTCCCGCCCCCCATAGCTCCCCTCCACCCGGTTCCCACCCCACCCTCTGCCCTTACTCCCCCCCAATGTCCTCATCCATAGGTGTACGATTTTTGTCCAGTCTCTTCCCGCATCCCGCACACCTCCCCCCCCAGAATAGTCAGTCCACTCCCTTTCTATGCCCCTGATTTTATTATAATCCCTCCAACAGTTTATTCTGTTTATCAGATTATTTATTCACTTGATTTTTAGATTCACTTGTTGATAGATATGTATTTGTTGTTCATAATTTGTATCTGTACCTTCTTCTTCTTCCTCTTCTTAAACGATACCTTTCAGCATTTCATATAATACTGGTTTGGTGGTGATGAACTCCTTTAGCTTTTCCTTATCTGTGAAGCTCTTTATCTGACCTTCAATTCTGAATGTTAGCTTTGCTGGATAAAGTAATCTTGGTTGTAGGTTCCTGGTATTCATCACTTTGAATATTTCTTGCCACTCCCTTCTGGCCTGCCAAGTTTCTGTTGAGAAATCAGCTGACAGTCGTATGGGTACTCCCTTGTAGGTAACTGACTGTCTTTCTCTTGCTGCTTTTAAGATTCTCTCTTTGTCTTTTGCTCTTGGCATTTTAATTATGATGTGTCTTGGTGTGGTCCTCTTTGGATTCCTTTTGTTTGGGGTTCTCTGCACTTCCTGGACTTGTAAGTCTATTTCTTTCACCAGGTAGGGGAAGTTTTCTGTCATATTTTTTCAAATAGGTTTTCAGTATATTGCTCTCTCTTTTCTTCTGGCACCCCTATAATTCTGATGTTGGTACGCTTGAAGTTGTCCCAGAGGCTCCTTACACTATCTTCATATTTTTGGATTCTTTTTTCTTTTTGCTTTTCTGTTTGGGTGATTTTTGCTTCTTCGTATTTCAGATCTTTGACTTGATTCTTGCAATCCTCTAGTCTGGTGTTGTATCTCTGTATATTATTCTTTTTTTTTTTTTTAAATATATTTTATTGATTTTTTACAGAGAGGAAGGGAGAGAGATAGAGAGCTAGAAACATCGATGAGAGAGAAACATCGATCAGCTGCCTCCTGCACATCTCCCACTGGGGATGTGCCCACAACCCAGGTACATGCCCTTGACCGGAATCGAACCTGGGACCCTTCAGTCCGCAGGCCGACGCTCCATCCACTGAGCCAAACCGGTTTCGGCTGTATATTATTCTTTATTTCAGTCAGTGTATGCTTAATTTCTAGTTGGTCCTTTATCACAACATCGAGGGTCTCACTAGATTTCTTGAGTGTCTCACTAAGTTTATCGGCGGTTTCTAGAAAATTCTTGAAAAACCTTAAAAGTGTGGTTTTAAACTCTATATCCAGCAGTTTGCTTTCCTCCATTTCTGTCATTTGTGTCCTGTTTCTTTGTCCCCGCATTTTTTATGCTTCCTTGTGTTGATAAAGTGGTTTTCTGTGCTAAGTGTCCTCTGGGGCCCAGTGGTTCAGCCTCCCCAATTACCTGAGGAGGACACTCTTGGTGCTCCCCCTTGTGGTCTTTGTGCACAGTCTTGTTGTAGTTAAGCCTTGATTGTTGTAGATAACACTGGAGGGATTGCCCTCCAGGCCAATTGGCTGTGAGAATCAGTTGTGTCTGCAGTGGGAGAACTTCTGTCCTGGAGCTCTAGGGAAGTGCTAATCTAGCCTCTGCCTGAGGCTATCCAGCAAACACCTCCGTGCAAGGCTTGGGCGGGGCGGGTCCCAGGGGATCAACAGGGCGGGCGAAGTGAGCAGTTATGGCTGCTCTCAGTCCTGCTTTCAGAGGCCCCGCTTCTCAGTGTCCCAGCAATTGCTGCAAGCCCCTCGGAGAGAAAGCTTCCCTCACGTTCCAACCGATGCCAGACAGTCCCGCTTCTCCCGTATGAATCTTGGTCCCCAGAGACTCGCCCCGGAACTGGAGCTCAGAGCCTGAGACTCCTTCCCGATTGAAAAAGAAAACCTCGCTCTCAGCCGCCAGCCCTCTCCGCATGCACCTCCGCACCTTAGTATTTTACTTCCGCACCGCACCTCCTCTGAGTCTCGGTATGCTTTTCTCTTTCCTTCTAGTTGTAGAATTTCCACTCAGCCAGCCCTCCTGTGGTTCTGGGTGATGTCCGTTCCGTCTTTTAGTTGTATTTTTGAAGTGGTTGTGCGAGGCAGCAAACTCCGGTGTTTACCTATGCCGCCATCTTGGTTTCTCCTAGTTGTAGTTTGTTTTTTGTTGTTGTTTCTTTTAAAATATATTTTATTGATTTTTTACAGAGAGGAAGGGAGAGGGATAGAGAGTTAGAAACATCGATGAGAGAGAAACATCGATCAGCTGCCTCCTGCACACTCCCCACTGGGGATGTGCCCGCAACCAAGGTACATGCCCTTGACCGGAATTGAACCTGGGACCCTTGAGTCAGCAGGCCGATGCTCTATCCACTGAGCCAAACCGGTTAGGGCTCCTAGTTGTAGTTTTGAAGTGGTTGTGCGAGGCAGCAATTTCTGGTGTCTACCTATGCCGCCATGTTGGTTTCTCTCTATTTTGAGTTTTGAGTATTTTTTATATGTACATTCTTTGTTAAATACATAGCTTATAAATATTTTCTCTAGTTTGAAACTTGTCTTTTCATTTGTAAAATTAAAATTAGCTTTTAAATTATTCTTTGTTAGAGAGTAGAGATTTTACTATTACTTGGAGAGACAAGATGTGTTAGAACTTCTATCTTTTGACTAAGACTTATTTACAGTCAAAATTTGCACAGGTTAGGCACTAAAAGAGTGCATGTGTTTCTTTCATGGATGATCCCCAAAAGAAGAAAAATGCCTGCTTTTAATAATGCCTTACCAGTCATATCTGATGCAAGAGGAAGGCTTAAATACCTGCCCTGCAATCTCAGACATTTTACTTAGCTTTTCTGAGTAGTGAATTTGTAATCCATAAAATAGGGGGGAGGGGTATGTTTTTTAATTCCAAAAATACTGTGAAATAGCTAATATAGCTCTAAAAAATAAAGCATATTACCAAAGCTTTCTTCCGCTTTTTAAATTATTAGTCTTCCTTATCATTTAAGGGACAGTTGTTTCAGGATTTGAACCTAGTCTTCTATAATTTCAAATGTCATCATTTAAACCCTTTTCAGAGAACCAGAGTGAGGATATTATTTCATGTTGCTAATCTTAAAGGGTTATTGTAGTAATAGTTATTTTATTGTGTTATTTTGAGGATTAAATGATTTAATAAATGCAAAGCACTTGGAACAGTTCCTGTTATATACTAGCAAGTAAACCCTGCTTAAGCTATTATTACCTGACTAGTAAAGTACTGCTATAGGAAATCAATGCTAAGAAAGTGAGATCTTTCAGCCTAGGTGTTTATCAATGAGTATGTTGCCCTCAAGGAGAATTTTATGTTATTTTTCAGTAGAATATACATTTTTCATTTCAGTTATAATTGCCAAAATGCTTGGAATTTTTAAATATCTTCAATTTGGGTACTCTGACAATTAAATAGACAGTTTTACTTAATATAGTTTGATTATGGATAAAGAGAAATAGAGGTATTTATGGATGTTTACAGAAGAGGCATTTTATTTATCTACTCTCTAATGACTAAGACTGATCAAGAAAGCAAAGGCTTTGGGAAAGATGATTCTGTGGGATGGATGTGGGGAGAAATGGCAATAGGTTCAGCTAAGAATTGAAAGTTTGAGAAATGCGATCATTTTTTCATGTTTTAAAATATGTGTTTAATTTGATTCTCTAATGGTAAATTCTTAAATACTTTAAGCCAATAGTCTTTATTATATTCATGCTTAAATATTTTTTTTTTGTTTTTAAGGACTTCAGTTTGTAGAAATGAGCAGTCGTAAATCAAAGAGTAACAATTTAATACATACAGAGTACCTTTCACAGGTTAGTATATATTTTCATTAACTTCAAATTCTATTACTTTGCAAAGGTCCTCAGAGAAATAGTTATCTTATTCCCATTCTAAGAGGCAGAATGCCATATGCTTCTATTTAATTTTATCCTTTTTAAGTCTTTGGGTAGTTGGGATTCTAACTTTACATGTCTTCGTAAGTGTGGTTCTTTTTTTTTGTTTTTTAAATATATTTTATTGATTTTTTACAGAGAGGAAGGGAGAGAGAGAGAGAGTTAGAAACATCGATGAGAGAGAAACATCGATCAGCTGCCTCCTGCACATCTCCCACTGGGGATGTGCCCGCAACCAAGGTACATGCCTTTGACCGGAATCGAACCTGGGACCTTTCAGTCCCCAGGCAGACACGCTATCCACTGAGCCAAACTGGTTTCGGCCCTAAGTGTGGTTCTGATTTCAATTTAGTTTAACATTATCTTCCAAGTTGTATACTTCCTTGGCTAAATGTATTCCTGTGGTTTTTTCATTTCTTTTGAAGCTGTAATAAATAAAGTAGTTTTATTTTTATTTGTTCATTGCTAATATATCTAAATGCAATTGATTTTTATATATTAATCTTATATACTGCAACTTTGCTGAACTCATTTATTAGTTCTAATAGTTTATTAGTTTATTCCCAAAGATTATCTGTATACTAGGTCATGACATCTACAAATAGAAATAGTTTTACTCCTTCCTTTTCAAACTGGATGCCTTTCATTCCTTTTTCTTATCTAATTGCTCTGGCTAAACGTTCAGTGCAATATTGAATAAAGGTGGCAAGAGGAGACAATCTTGTTTTGTTTTTGATATTGGAGAAATGCATTCAGCCTTTAACTGTGGAACATTATATTAGCTGTAGGTTTTTGTAGATGCCCTTTATCACATCAAGGAATTTCACTTATATTCCTAGAATATTTATCATGAACATTTAAGATAGTTGCATACTGTATTTCAAATGCTAAGTATATAGCTATACATATCTCTATTAAGGAATCTAGGAGGGAATGGGCATGGTATTTCTACCCTGACATTTCTTTTTACCTGGCTTGATCATCAGAACTACATTATTTTTTAAATTAAAACTAAATGGTATTGGCATCCCTTTATAAAACCTTGTTCTTATTTTTGAAGGTAAATGTTTAATTCTGTTCCAAAAAAATTTTTTTAACAAGTATAATTTACATGTCTTCATAAAGGGCACAAGTTCATGTACAGCTTCATTAATTTCTTTAAATCCTGACCCAAGGATATGTTTTTCATTAATTTGAGAGAGAGAGACAGAGAGACATCAGCATGAAAGAGAAACTTCAATCGGGTGTACCGCTCCCCTCCAAACATGTCCCAATCAGGGATTGAACCTGCCACACCAACCAGGGCCAGCTTCATTAATGTCTGTACATACATACACTTGTGTAACCTCTACCTGATATCACTTTGGGATTTTTAAACCTCCAACTACTTACTACAGCTTCTCTTCACTTTATCCCTGTCATATTTTATACATAGTTGTTCCCTCTCTAATAGACTCTAATGAAGAAAGAAAAGGTCTGAGGTTTGTCTTTTAATTTCTAGTGATATTATCTAGGTAGAGGAATAAACATTATGATTTGTTGAGTCTCCATATATGCTCATTTAAATGTTTTACAGGTATCAGCTATTACCTGTCCAATACCTATGCTGTGTTAGAGATAACTGCCTTATTTAATCTGAAAAGTGTTACTGTCTCCATTTTAAAAATTTTTTAAAATTAAGATTTAGAAAGGACTAACTTTAAAATGCTTTTCTGGCACCAATTTTCTTATTCTTTTCACTTCCTCTATAATGAAAAGTATTTATTTTATTCCCAGTGAATAATTTGCTTTGTTTATACTCTAGTGCATGTAAAGAGAACTCATGTGTCTCTTTGATACATGAAGGATCAGTCCCACACTCTCAATTTGGGAAAAATAAATAATCTTGGAGGCTTCTTGTTTCTGTTGATGGAGCCAAATCTGAAGCTTCCTAAAGTTTGTGTTCCTGGGTGTACCTCTGCATTAGCAGTAGATCCTGAAAAGAAATGGCTTTAATGGCCCATCTTTTCTTTTTATTTTTATCTATCTTCTTCTATATAAATAAAAATGTAAATGTTTGTTTGTTCAAAATCTTAAATCTCCGAAAGTTCTTCACCGATTGCTTTGAAATTTTGACACAACGTTACATTCGAATATGCGTGTGTTTTTATATACCTATTACTATCTGTATCTGGCCACGCGTTGCTGTGGCTCAGTCTGGTTAAATGGAAAAGAAAGAAAAGAGAAAGCACACATTTTGACACTGATCTGCTGTTTCTCGTTGACGTCTTTCAGCCACTCTCAGCCTGTCGCGTTCATTCTGTTGAGAACGAAGCAGATCTGAAGCTGCAGAACGCGATCGCCATGCTCGCCACCGTGCATACTCAAGTCTGGCTGCACGTTGCTCTGCTGCTTCCTCCGCACGTTTTTGAGCCATTCTTTGTCTGTTTCGCTCGTTCGCTGATGCCCGTTCTTCCTCAGTTTGATTTGCAATTACTCGTCGCACTGCTTCTGCTCCGCGAGTACGACGACCTAAGTTTGATCTTCTGCGAGGCATTATTTTGATGAACTAAAGCAGATCGATTGCACTGAGAAAGAAGAAAGTTCTAACAAAAACATATAAAATTGCAAAACATTAAGAAAGGAAAAAACACAAACTAAAAAACAAAGAAAAAACAAAAAAAATAAAAAATACTAACGAAATATTTCAATTCAAACGCAGATCAATCAACACAGCTCAATTCCATCGCCAATTGCACTGAAAAATAAGAAAAACAGTTAAAAAATCGAAATGAAAAAAAATAAACTATACTCACGAAATGAACGCTGTGGTAAACGACACAGCTCAATTCCAACGCAATGTCACACGGAATAATTAAATCAAAATGAAAATAAATCGAAATCTATGTAAATTCAATTTAACAATGCAATTGGAAACATTGAAATGGAATCGTAAAATTGGAAATTTGGAAATCGTAAATGGATCGTAAATCAGAAGCATTGAAATGGAATCGTAAAATATTTAGTATAGCTTGTGTTGCTTTTACGTCCAACAGATGGCGCTATTTTTCAAAAAAAAGCATGTTTTTACCTGTCACAGGTGTGACATCTATATAATAGGTATATAAAAACACGCGTATTCGAATGCAACGTTGTGTCAAAATTTCAAAGCAATCGGTGAAGAACTTTCGGAGATTTGAGATTTTGAACAAACGAACATTTACATTTTTATTTATATAGAAGATATAGATGTCACACCTGTGACAGGTAAAAACATGCTTTTTTTAAAAAACAGCACCATATGTTGGATGTAAAAGCAACACAAGCTATACTAAATATTTTACGATTCCATTTCAATGTTTCTGATTTACGATCCATTTACGATTTCCAATTTCACGATTCTATTTCAATGTTTCCGATTGCATTGTTAAATTGAATTTTCATAGATTTCGATTTATTTTCATTTTGATTTAATTATTCCGTGTGACATTGCATTGGAATTGAGCTGTGTCATTTACCACAGCGTTCATTTCATGAGTATAGTTTATTTTTTTTATTTTTTCATTGTTTTTCATTTCGATTTTTTAACTGTTTTTCTTATTTTTCAGTGCAATTGGCGATGGAATTGAGCTGTGTCGATTGATCTGCGTTTGAATTGAAATATTTCGTTAGTATTTTTTATTTTTTTTGTTTTTTCTTTGTTTTTTAGTTTGTGTTTTTTCCTTTCTTAATGTTTTGCAATTTTATATGTTTTTGTTAGAACTTTCTTTCTCAGTGCAATCGATCTGCTTTAGTTCATCAAAATAATGCCTCGCAGAAGATCAAACTTAGGTCGTCGTACTCGCGGAGCAGAAGCAGTGCGACGAGTAATTGCAAATCAAACTGAGGAAGAACGGGCATCAGCGAACGAGCGAAACAGACAAAGAATGGCTCAAAAACGTGCGGAGGAAGCAGCAGAGCAACGTGCAGCCAGACTTGAGTATGCACGGTGGCGAGCACGGCAAGCACGGCGAGCACAGAGATCGCGTTCTGCAATTTCAGATCTGCTTCGTTCTCAACAGAATGAACGCGACAGGCTGAGAGTGGCTGAAAGACGTCAACGAGAAACAGCAGATCCGCGTCAAAATGTGCGCTTTCTCTTTTCTTTCTTTTCCATTTAACCAGACTGAGCCACAGCAACACGTGGCTGGGTACAGCTAATTTTTAAATATATTCGTATTGATTTCAGAGAGGAAGGGAGAAGGAGAGAGAGATAGAAACATCAATGATGATAGAGAATCATTCATTGATTGACTGCCTCCTGCACCACCCCCCCCCCCCACTGGGGACTGAGCCCGCAACCCAGGCATGTGCCCTTGACCAGAATCGAACCCAAGACCTTTCAGTGTGCAGGCTGATGCTCTATCCACTGAGCCAAGCCAGCTAGGGCAATAGCCTATGTTCTTAAAAATGTGCTAGATTTTCTGACATTTTTTACAACCAAGGCTGTGCCCTTTATTTTATGATGACCTCAAAATTTAGCTCTTTATAAGAATTTTTTTCTTTATTTCAATGATTTTTTTTATTTTATAGCCTACATGAATGTGATTTCTTCCATATAATTGAGCATTTTCTTATATGCTGTTAATACTTTTATGCAGGTTCTTGAATGTGTCATTTCTGCACAGTATATCTGCAATTTTTTTTTTTTAGGCATGGGTCATGCTCTTTTAGTAATCTTGTGCTCTGCATCTAATAAGTACTAAATAACTACAGGGACTTTTAAACTTCTTTAATTCTCTCAGAATACTGACCTTTATGGCAGGTATAGATTGGTAGGGCTTGAGCTAAGGCAATTTAAATGTGTTGGTCTCTAGAGATAGAGGAGTGATATATGAGTATTATGAGATTAGGTTACATTATTAGATTATCACCTGTCAGTTTTTTAGCTGACATGTTATTCTCGGTAAAGTATACATTCATTCACATGCATTAAAACAGTCCTCAAATTCTGATGTAACTAAAGTAAGTAATTCTCTCTTGTTGAAACCTACACAACTAAATTCTCATCTTTTCTCTGGGATTTAAGATAAAAAGAACTATTGAATTTATAACTCATGAAAATGGTGCCAGAGCTCTTGAAGAAAAGTTATTTAGGGAGGGTTGAATTGATTCATTAATACCTAATTCTGACTCCTATAAGTGTATATTCTCATTTATTTTGATTGCATGTATAATATTTTTTTATACTTTATTTTCATCAGGTACAAAGAATTTTACGTGAAAGATTTTGTTATCAGAGTTCACATAGTAACCTATTTGGACTACAAGTACAATATAAGTAAGTTTGGCTATTCCCTTGTATGTTATGAGTATACTTACAGATGCCCTGTAGGTTTTGCAGATATTACCATATACAAATTTTATCTTAAGCATTGCTAATGAACCTTTTGCTTTGGGTATAGAAACATTGAGTATCATGAAGCAAGAGAGATATAAGTATTTCCATAATAAGAAAGCCTTTAACTTTTAGTCTTACGTTGTTTTTGTTATCTGGTATTGTAGAGATAATTTTGCTCTTCTTATACCTAAGACTTGGCAGCCAGTTGTAAAGTGAAAGGGCCTAAGAGCTGCCACTGTTGTCACTTACCCCATACTAGCATAAAGACCAAGATATTTCAGACTTGATTTCTTCTTGTGGTTTCCAGAGAATCAGTATTAGCCAACAATCTGTTTCTGTGTAGGACTATATAGAGTATAAGTCAAGTGCCCAGAGGGAAAGAAAAAAGGAATACCTGTTTTCTATGCATATTCAAATTTAGCTTTAAAAAATAATACCTAACAATTATTCTAGCTTTTTAAATTTGGGCCTGTTTATATAATTTCAGACACTTAATTGAGCTGCTAAAAAGAACTGCTATCCATGGAGAAAGTAACTCTGTTCTCATTATTGGACCCCGAGGATCAGGAAAGACCATGGTAAAGCTATTTATTTCTGGTGTTTGCTTTGGTAGGCTTGTGACTATTCCTGTAGACAACGCTGAAATGTATTTCATTATTTTGTTAACATTTTGCTTTTTTTCCTTAAATCATTGAAAACATGAAAATCCTTATAAAGTTGGGGCGATATGTTTGAGTTGAGCTATCTTTTTTGCCTTGTTTTTCCCCACAGTGACAAGTTTCAGTTGATGTTTGTTTAATCATGATCTTCTGTCCTTGAAGAATTAGTGATTCCCAGTGGAAAAAGCAAACTAGCATTTATTGGACATGTACCTTGTGCCTTTTATCTTTGCTTTATCATTTATTGTTTACACTAACCTAGTAAGATAGGTTTTGTCTCTATTTGTGGATTAGGTAACTGTCACCAATGCATTCTTTTTTTTCTCGTTATTTTATTGTTTAACCCTAACATAAACAATTTTTTCATATGTCCATTCACATTTTCTAGATTTGTCTTCTACTTTCCCTCGTAATCATATTTGCTTAGTCGTCTCATTTTCTCTTTTCACATTCTTTATACAGAATATGAAACCAATTATGTCTGTCACACTGAAAGTATTACCAAACTATTTAATTTTAAATAGGTGGGCTGTGTAAAATCTATTTAAACAGTGTTCTCTAAGAAATGGAAATTAGTACTTTTGGATTTTACTGTTCTCCATTACCAGTATTGTTTGAAAGATATAAATTGGGAATATAGATCTATGGAAGGAAGTGGTGCCTAGAAGAAAGGTTAATCAGAAGTACTAGGCAACTGTCACTGACAACCACCACAGCTAACTTGTTTTTAGTTCATGTGATTTCCCCTATCTGGTTGCTTGTAGAGTTTCTTTATATTAGCAATGTTAAAATTTCACAAGTTATATCTAAATATTGATCATAAAATTTATATTCTTCAAATCCTCTTATTGTGAATTTAGATCTTTTCTCCTATAAAAGATCCTCTCCCTGCTCCCCCCATTTTTATTATTATACTAGAATTTTCATGCACTGGATGGGGGTCCCTCAGCCCGGCCTGCCCCCTATCACAGTCCAGGAGCCCTCAGGGGTGGGAGGCGACCCGGTGATCAGGGGAAGGTGATGCCCCATCACACCTCTGCTGCTGCCACTGCCAGCAGCGCAAGCCTCAGCCGGCCCTGGTTACCTGAGCCTTGGGCAGCCCTGGGCCTCTGGGCAGCTGCCATCCGAGGCTTGCCTGCACCTCGGGCCAACCCTGGGCGGCTGGGGGGTTGAGGGGACTGGGGGAATCTGGAGGCTGGGGGGCTGAGGGGATTGGGGGACATCTGTTGGCTGTGGGTGCCACCATCTTCGAGGGCAGGGCAGTCAATTAGCATCTTTGCAATGGTGTGAGGGTCAATTAGCATATTTCATCTTTATTAGATAGGATCTGGAAGACACATCATTATAGTAATGTTTGAAGAACATTTTTAGATAAAACTTTAATTTTCAAGAAGCTTCATAGTAATACTCATATAATACTCATATCAATACAGAAGAAAATGAGATTTAGGAAGTCAGTGCATTAGGTCTATCCCATCATAAACTGTGCATCTTGAAACTAAATGGCACTACAACAGGAAAGTTGAATATCAGTAATTTGTACATCAATGTCAAGCCTAAAAGTATAACTTGAGTGGCTGATTGAATTTGTTCTGAACTTCACCTTGGAAGTTTGTCTCTATAGGCATGGGGAAAGTTCAGAAATAGAGCTAAACACTTATAAAAATGTATAACTAAATACAAATTTTAACTATAGCCCATTTCATTAGAAAATGGGCTAAAAAATATATATATTTTTTACCAGAAAAATTAAGCAGATACTACAAAGTTCCCATATTATTCTCCCCTACTCCTACCCCATACACACAATTTCCCCTACTGTTAACACCTTGACTTAGCATGGTACATTATAATCAATGAATTGATATTGATACATTATCATTAAAGTCCATAGTTTACATTAAGGTTCACTCTTTGTGTTGTACAATGTAATGGGTTTTAACAAATACATAATGTAATATATCCACCATTTAAGTGTCATACAAAATAACTTCACCATTCTAAAAAATCCCCTGTATTTATTCTCTCACCCCCAACCCCTCTCAATGACTGATGTTTCACTGTTTCCATACTTTTGTCTTTTTCAGAATGTCATATAGTTGGGATCATACAGTATAGAACCTTTTCATATTGTCTTCTTGCACTTAACAATAAGCATTTAAGGTTCCTCCATGATATTTCATGGCTTGGCAGGTCATTTCTTTTAATTGCTGAATAATATTCCATTACATAAATGTACCACTGTTTATTTACCTATTGAAGGACATCTTGTTTGGTTCTGATTTTTAGCAATTTGAATAAAGTTATTCTAAACACTTGTGTACAAGATTTTATGTGAATGTAAGTCTGCAACTTAATTGGGTAAATACTTAGGAGCACCAATTGTTGCATCATATGGTAATACTATGTTTAGCTTTGTGAGAAGTTGACAAACTGTCTTCCAAAATAGTTATACCATTTTGCTTCTTACTAGCATTGAATGAGAGTTTCTTCTGCTATGTGTCTTCACAAGCATTTGGTATTGTCAGTTTTTAAAATTTTAGCCATTCCAGTAGATACACAGTGCTATCTCATTGCTTTTCTTGTTATAGTTCTTTATTGGTGTATGATATTGAGCATCTTTTAATGTGCTTATCTTTTTTTAAAAATATATTTTATTGATTTTTTACAGAGAGGAAGGGAGAGGGATAGAGAGTTAGAAACATCAATGGGAGAGAAACATCGATCAGCTGCCTCCTGCATACCTCCTACAGGGGATGTGTCCGCAACCAAGATACATGCCCTTGACCGGAATCGAACCTGGGACCCTTCAGAACCTGGGACCCGCTCTATCCACTGAGCCAAACCAGTTAGGGCAATGTGCTTATCTTTTATCTGTATATCTTTGGTGAGATACTTTATGATCATTTTAAATTGGGTTCTTATTGATGTTTTAAGAGTCATTTGTGTATTTTGGATATATCAGATATATGTTTTGCAAATATTTTCTCCCAATCTGTCCTTTACCCTTTGAATTCTATTAACAATGATTTTGGAAGGGAAGTTTTTAATTTAAAAGAAGTCCAACTTGTCAGCTATTTTTTTCATGGATTGTGATTTTGGTGTTGCATCTAAAACTCCATCACCAAAACTCAGGCTCTCTAGGTTCTCTCCTATTTTATTTTCTAGAAGTTTTATAGTTCTTTGCATTTACATTTACATCTGTGATTCATTACAAGTTAATGTTTGTGAAAAGTGTAAAGTCAGTGTCTAGATTCATTTTTTTTTTTTGCATATGAATATCCAATTCTAACACCATTTATTGAAAAGACTATCTTTTCTTTATTGGATTACCTTTATCTCTTTATGAAAGATCAGTTGACTGTATTTGTATGTTCTTTTTCTGGGCTCTCTATTTTGTTTCCGTTATCTGTTTGTTCTTGCACTGGCATCACGCTGTCTTGATTACTGTAGCTTTATAGTTAGCCTTGAAGTTCCATAGTGTCAGTCTTTCAATTTTTTGCTTCTTCAATATTGTTTTGGCTATCCTGGGTACTTTGCATTTCCATATTAACTTCAGAATCAATTAACTACAAAATACTGGGAACTTTTGTGTTCAATTGTGGGATTTTGTGTTGAATCTGTATATCACATTGAGATGATTTGGTTTAACTATATTGAATCTTCACATTCATGAACATGGAATATTTTTTCCATTTATTTATGTATGTATGTATGTATGTATGTCTTTCACCAGAATTTGTGGTTTTCCTCATGCAGAATTTATACATATTTTGTTAGATTTATATCTAAGCATTTAAATGTTTTAGTGTTAGTGTGAATAGTATTATGTTTTTAATTTCATGTTCCAAGGGTTCATTGCTGATATGTGGTGAAACAAATGCCATGTGTGTATTACTTGTATCTTCCAACCTTGCTATAATTGATTATCAATTCCAGGAATTTATCGATTCTTTGGGATTTTCTACATAAACAGTCATGTCATCTGCAAACAAAAAAGTTTTATTTCTTGTCTATTTCTATCCATGCCTTTTATATCCTTTTTTTGTCTCATTGCATTAGTTATTCACAGGCTCTGTTTAAGTATTGATCATAAAATTAACTGATATTATACAAACTTTCTTAATATGAATTAGGTCTTCACTAAATAATAATTTAATTTTTGATATTTCTTCTGTTTCATTCTTTTTGTCCTTTCTTAGAATTATTCAGTTATTAAACTTTTGTCTAGCTCCTTGTCCTGAAACTTCTGAGTCTGCTGTTTTGTGTTTATCTGGGTCTGGCTTAAATAGCTTGAAACATTTTTTTCTATATATGTTTTCAGTACTAATTAATCTTTATCGTCAACCTGCCTTTCCTTTTCTTTCATGTTACATCTTTTTTTTTTAATGAATTCCTATGTCAACTTTTTCTGCTTACTCGGGTTTAAAGAAGGACATGGCCATTACAGCATAGTATTTATCAGTTAATAAAATGGATAGACTATTCTTGGCATAATGACAGTTTATCCAGTTGTTGTTATTTCTTAAACTAGAGCCCTCTTCTGGTACTCTGAAGTCATTTATTTAATGTGACTTCACTGGAATATGGAAGAATCCCTTACTTGGTATTGTATTTTGGTATAATTTAATTTATGCTTGCTGCACTCCAATATTGAGAGGTCAAAGAGCTGAGGATCATTGTTTATCTGTGTCACTTTTGTAATTTGCTTTGCTTGGGACTATCCTAAGATATAAAATAGGTTATTCTTAGACAAGAACTCTCATTAATTAATTATGTAAATTAAAATTTAAAAATAAGATTCCAGCATATTTAATAACATTATGCTTTGCCTGTCTGAAATATAAAAATTTGAAATCTGCATTTGATTAAGGGGTTAGAGAGTGGTGGTTAAGGGGGCCTAATAGATGGTGAAGGAAGATAATTTGACTCTGGGTGGTGGGAAAAATAATATACAGTTGATTGATAAATATCATAGATAATGTGGCTTGTTGTACTTCAAACATTTCGATCCAAATGACAGATTGGACCCTGGAAAATACTCTTTTTTATAAAAATAAATTACTGTAAACAGAAACTTAATAGATGGTTAAATAGGATGTTTCTTCTGATTGATGTTTCTTCTACTTGCATATTGCTGAATGTTGTGTTTATTAAAGTATTTAGAAATAGTAATTTTAGTAAGCATAAAAATCCCTAGATGCTGGCAGATCTAAGCAAACTCTCCTAGTAGATTTGTAAAATTAGTTTTCAGGTACAAAAAATGTGGAAACAGGGTAGCCATATTGGTTATGCTGGTTGGTGTAACATTAATAACCAACTAGCTTTTTAATATATTATATAGTTTAAAATATTTGAAAAGGTGACATTATATCCATGAGAAAACTGACTGAAATTATACAATTGGTTATCTAGCTAATTACATACTAAATTTTAGCAGTATTCAGATTGGAACAAAAATTATATGAAGACATACTTGCTAATACATTTAAATTATTGTTTTAGAACACACTCACCCCATTAAAAAGGCTGTGAGTTGATCTAGGCAAATCATGACAGCTTAATGCCTAAAGTAAAATCTGGAAAGAGTGTCCTATAAACCTGTTATAACTCTCTCTATGCATATGTAGAATGAAGGTACTATTATTAACCTTATTTCATTTGGTCAAGAAATTGAAATGCTTTTCAACAATTCAGCAGACATAAAATAATTTAAATCATTAAATCAGAGCTTGAGATATATAAATGGTATATAAATAAAATATCAAAAGGTGGGGGCAAGAACATAGCAGATTACTAAAAAAATATGGCGAAAGTCATATTTTGAGAGCCCAAGTTTATGTCCTCTGGGGACAAACTCTTGTAGTATGGAAAGACTTGACCCAAAGGCAGAGAAGCACCACCTCTTCTTCTGACAGTTCTTCATAAAGAATTTCACATCTCAACCAGGCCTTAATGCATATAACAATTGATATTTCCATATTGTCCCTTGTAAAGAGGACCTGGACTGCCTTTGTTCTGAGGTAGAATTCCATCTGCTTTAAAAACGGTACAGATAAATAAGGAATAGCTGTTATGTTGGATATCCTGTTGTGCAACCTAGTAATTTAAAATGAGGGTATTTGTTTCTTCCTATTGCACAAAGATGCTATAGTGACAGATAGAGGATAGGCTATTGTAAAAACAAATAGTATTTTGTTTTTCAAAATAGTTTACCAGTCATCCCAGTGACTTTTTTGAATAATTCCTTTTGTTCTCACTAAATTTTGATGCCATCTTAATTAATTTTTTTCTATATGCTGTGAGTGGTAAGATGTCACAATTTAAAAAGTATAATAAAATGTAAGTATGTGGATTAGAAACCTGTAATTATAAAAATGTGCAGCTTTATAACTGAACAGTTTAAGGTAGTATAATAATTTCTGTGCATATTTTAGTAGTAATCTATATATGTAAAAACCTAAGCAACCAGCTGACCAGCCAGTAGCTATGATGTGCTCTGACCACCAGAGGGCAGACGTTCAACGCAGTTGTGGAAACCACAGGCATGGAAACATAGAACAGACTGATGAATCTCAGAGGGAAGGGGGGAGTAAGGGAAGAGATTAACCAAAGATCTTATATGCATACTAGAGGCCCAGTGCATGGATTCATGTACCGGTGGGGTCCCTCAGCCTGGCCTGCGGGGATCGGGCTAAAACCAGCTCTCCGACATCCCCCGAGGGCCCTGGATTGTGAGAGGGCGCAGACCAGGCTGAGGGACCCCACTGGTGCACGAATCCAAGTACTGGGCCTCTAGTTATTATAAATATATTAGTAGTAGGAATAATTTTTTCATTGTAAGCACTAAGTTTCTGTAATAAGGACTTTCTCTGTATACCTAGCAACTAACAGAGGGAACTAAAGAATCTGCAATTGTATTTGTTAATTTAAAGTGGCAATCTGTTTATATCATTTCCACTATTCATAGTTTAAAAAATAAGGGCTTATTAACTTTTAGCTATCATTAACTATTTTGTAAACTTTTTAATATTGTTTAGCTAATAAACCATGCTTTGAAAGAATTAATGGAGGTAGAAGACGTGAGTGAAAATGTATTACAAGTTCACCTAAATGGTAAGTGTGTCATTATTTTGCCACTGGAACTAATATAAATCATGTGCGCTTTTTATATTATGAAACTAAATCCACTTGTATGTTTTAAATTTAGATTCATGATTATATTTTTAAAACTAGATTTATGTCTAATAACTCTTAGCACACCATAAACAATATTTTTAGAAACTAAAACAATAAATAAAGGATGCACATAAAGACTTTCGGTTTTGTTGTGTGTTTTTTTCAATAACCCTAACTCCAGAGAAGATTGTTCTTTGATTCTACTAGATGTCTTCATTACTCAGTTGTAATATGAAATATAAACTCACAGTCTGTGACTTTTTTCTTTCTAGTTAAATTTAAAAATCATTAAAAATTATTTGATTGGAAAATAACCTCAAATACATATTTCATTTTAATTAAATGCTTTTAAATGGGCTTTGTTTTAGGACTGCTGCAGATCAATGATAAAATAGCTCTAAAGGAAATCACAAGGCAGTTAAATCTGGAAAACGTAGTTGGAGATAAAGTTTTTGTACGTATAACTTCTATTCTTTTATTAAATAGTCATCAAAATAAAGTCTGTATTGTTATAGCTTTATATTTTTGTAATAAAAATGTATTAAGTACTAGGGTGCATTTATTTATCAAAACCAGGTTTACGTAGATACTGAGTTTGTTTCTTTATTTGTAAGATAAATATTCTGATTCTCTGTCTTTGGAGATAAATTAATGTTTTTAAAAATACTATACTCTAGCAGTCTATTTCTAGTCGTCTGAGACTTGGGTATCATGGGAGTGGTGGAAAATGTGCTGAATTTTACACTACAGAAAAGGTGGATTTTAGTCTTGCTTTACAGCCTGGTGAGAATGATTAATGAATCCCCCTGAATTTCAGGTCCTCCTCTGTTAAATAGGCATTATCTTAAACTTACTGCACTAATTTATTTGGCAGACAAAAGAAAGCATTAAACATAATTTATGTTTTAAGAAAAGATACTTGATGGTAATACACTATACATATGCCAGTTATCTCGTACTATTTAAATGTTTTCAGATACTTGCCCATATCTCATTATTGTAATAGCTTGGAATCTAGGACAATGAATGTCATAACTTAAAAGAAACTGATTAGAAATGTTTTGAAACTTGAAAATTTTTTTGCCTATCACTTGATTTATAGGGCTCAAGGGAAGAATGATTAACTTAATTTTCAACTTCTTTAATTTTCATGATGAAATGACTTATCCTCATACTACCTATGCATTTGAAGTGGGTTATATATGTTCCAAGTTCATTTTCTGGTCTCTGGTAATCATGCAGTGCTGTCACTCTCCGATGCAGCTTCACAGCCATGGTTGTGAAAGCCTCCTGGCATGTAGTGATTCATTCTTTTGTAATTATCTGTAAAATCTTGATCCCAATCACATGTTACCCTTTCACTGTCTGCAGGTCTCTGAAGTGGAAGTTCAGAATGCCCCTTCTATTAATGTTCTATCTTCTGTTAGAATTTAATGTTGAAAATAGTCTGCTACTTGGTCAAGGAGACTTACTGTTATAGAGGCCCTGTTTTGCTTTTAGTTTCCTGTTGATGTAAGATTGGTGTTTCCAACTTGCATATTGGATTCATACGAAATAATAAAAAGGCATCGTTGTTTATCATCCTAGTCATCACTTTTGGTACCATAATTATCACATAGAGATATTATTAATTTAACTTCTACATTGTATTCATTAGTCAGTCATCTGAGGCTCAGAGAGCATAAAAAGCTTGCCTAAAGTCGTAAAATAACAAAGGCTGGGCATTAAGAACCTGAGTCACTTATCTCAATCCAGAGCTTTTCTGTTCTGATATCCTTACAGCAAATTTGTATATTCTTATACGTATATATATACATGTATATTTATATAAGTACATATATGTACATATGTATTGTATAGGTATATATTTAATGTATGTATAATATGTACATATGTATTTGTACAGGTGTATATCTAATGTCATGTACAACATTCTTTTAAAAAATATCCGGAAGAGAAGCAACCTTTGAGTAACATTGACCACTGATTTCCTAACAAATTGTCTCTGAGCCTTTGTTTATGTTATGGTAACTACCTCTAGTCCTGCTTACCTTGGAATAGTGTTGACGTGGCAGTTTGCAATCATCACAAAATATATGGAAACTCTTAAAAACTTACGCTATTTTATATCAGTTCTCTCATTAGGAAACAAATAAATGTGTTTCCTCTCTCTTCTACATCTCAAATTTAAAGTTGGCTATTTCTTTAAATTAAAAAATCTGAAATATAGTAATGATTTTAATGAAAAAATATTTTAATAGGGCCTTTATCCACAAGCTGTAACATCTGGATAATACATTTGCAACTCTAAATTTTTATCTGGAATATTTAAGTTGTATGTAAAAATGTTTTAGTTGTGGTTTAGTTAGCCAAATTTGATATGATAGTACATATTGTGTAATATGCTCTTGAATAGAGATTCACTATTATAGTATCTAATATTTGAGGCAAATTTCTTCTCCCTTTTACTTTTGGATCTCATTTAAATTCATTTTTTAGTGGTAGAAATTAATTTGTGACTTTCAAGAGCCTGATGTTTTTGACGATACAAAGTGCAATGGATTTCTAATTCTCTGACTATATTTATAATATAGCAACTCTTAATAGCCCCAACCTGGTGGGTCTGTTGGTTGGCGCGTCATCCCGTAAGCCAAAAAGTTTGTGGGGCGAGTACAAGAGACAAGTGATCAATGTTTCTCACATCAATGTGTCTCTCTCACATCACTGTTTCTATCTAAAAATCTAAAATCAATGTACATATCCTCAGATGAGGATAAAAAAAAACTCCCTTTAAATAACATTAACAGTTTTATGTATTTTATCAAGAAAATATAAAATTTTGAACACTATGTAGTAATGTCACTTTCAGAGCTATGCCATCTCTGCTTTTATATTTAAGTTTTAGATTGTAAGCATAGATATATTCAACTGAGAATCTGGCCAATGACTCTGATCCTATATAATAAAGCCTAATATGCTAAGTGTCCAGTCGACTGGTCTGCCACTCAACCAATCAAAGCATAATATGCTAATGATATGCTAAGTCTGCTCAACCTCTCCTATGATGTGCACCGACCATCAGGGGGCAGACAGTCTACTGGTCGGCCAGTTGCTATAACGTGCACTGACCACCAGGGGGCAGACGCTCCAACCGGTAGGTTAGCTTGCTGCTGGGGTCCGGCCTATCAGGACTGAGCAAGAGGGACTGGACATGCCCTGGAGCCCTCCCACGGTTCCTCCCCAGCTGGCCAACCTCCTGCGTCTCTCCCTGGCTCGATCGATCATGCACCAGTGGGGTTCCACGGCCTGGCCTGCACCCTTTCACAATCCGGGACCCCTCGGGGAATGTGGGAGAGCCAGTTTCAGCCTCATCCCACAAGTCAGGCCAAGGGACCCCACTGGTGCACGAATTTGTGCACCGGGCCTCTAGTTTACTATGAAAAATGAGTATCTATATAATGTCTAAGAATTAGATACAGGGTGTGTCTACATAATGTTTAAGGGCCAGATAACCTTTCTGTTTTTTTATTTAATAAACTTCTAGTCATGGTATTTGTTTGTTTGTTTTTTGTTTTTGTTACTCAGGGAAGCTTTGCCGAAAACCTTTCATTTATTCTGGAAGCTTTAAAGAAAGGTAAATATTAACATATTTAACAGTATCAAACATATTTGTTTAGCTGTAGTTTCCCCTGATTATAAAGATAATAACATGATTTAACAAAAAAATTAGTAAAGAAATATTAAAAAAGAAAATAATAGTCACTATATTCCCACACTATTATAGTGATTATCCCAATTTAACTTTGGTTTTATGTCTTTATTCACCTGCAGTATATCATTGATATAAGTAGTTAAGTAATTTTCATAAGAATACATTTATTTTCCATATTGTGTAGTCTACATCTTTTCATTTACAAACAGTATGTTGTGAGCATTTTTCCATGTCGGTAAAAAATGCTGCATTATCATTTTTATGGTTCTTATATATTTCATTTTATAAATATAAATTAACTGTAATTAAAAATATACATTATAACTTATTAACCACCAGTTATGGGCTTTTATTTTTAATTTTGTAATTATGAAGAAATTCATAGATAGTCATCCAGATATTTCCTGGGGAAAATTTCAGTGAGTAGAATTCTGGATTAAAAGGTACAACAATTAAACTACCTTAGAAGGCCCATTTTCTAAATATATTTCAAGAATACCTTTTTCTTAACAATTTCAAAAACAAGTATTTATTTTTATATTTGTCTAATAGAAAAATTATTAGTTTAATTTGCTTAATTTTGGTAATGATGATCATTTTCTGTTTTTATTGACCATTGACATTTCCTGATTCATGTGTTTCCTATGGTTCTGTCTTATTTTGATGTTTAGCTTGTTTGTTTGTTTATGGGGATTCTTGCACTTAAAAACAACACTTAATGTTTCTCTTCTCTTAAATTTGGGTTGGATTATCTGCTGAACAGAGTTTTAGAATTTTTACATAGTCAAAATTTTTTCTCTCCAGGTTTAAAAATACTCAATTATTTTTTCATCAAATAGTTGTAATTAATAATTTGCCTAGAATTTATTTTGGTGAGGTGTAAAGTGGAGCTTTAACCTTGAATAAACCACTTTTCCCCATTAATATGTAATGCTGTTTTACCAATACTAAATTTCTAATAATGTAGGCCTGTTTCTAGACTTCTGAGCAGTCCCTGTGGTTTTTATGCCATTTAGGTTAGTGTTAAATGTTTTATTACCTGTTGGAGTGAGTGTCCCCTTATCAGATTTTCTTGTTACTTGTTTATGCAAATATAAAGCCCTAAACCTTAAAGTAGTAGTGATTCTTTTGCTAAAGCTGATTCTGTTGTGATGAGAACAATGAATTCACAGAGTCATGTTGAACTTTTCCCTGTTGAAATATTAAAGTTGTGGTTAGAAGGAATTATAGTGGTTCTGATTGAATTTCAGTCTAACCATTGTTTATAAAAATTATTTCTAAGGGAAGATATACTTTGCATTTCTAGCTAAATGAATCTTTTCTGAAATAATAGTTTTGAGCATAATGACTCTTTATATTTAATCTCAAAATGATTTGGTCTGTGTAGGTATTAAAAGTTCTTTGTAAATTTTCTGGTGCTAGAAGGACTCTGTTTACATAATTTTAAAAACAATAGTCTCCATTTATTTAAATCATTTTCATCAATAAACTACTAGTAACTAGACTGAAATACTTAAGGCTATCTTGTCCTATGAGTAATTTTGTTGAATAAATAAATTTATGTGCATTGTTAAATATCCTACCCGAAGTAGGTTATCAATAATTGTTTGTTGAATTAAGTTTTAAAAAGTGAAATGTAGCCCTGACTGGTTTGGCTCAGTGAATAGCCTGTGGACTGAAACGTCACAGGTTCGATTCTGGTCAGGGGCACGTGCCCAGGTTGCGGGCTCGATCCCCAGTGGTGGGCTTGCAGGAGGCAGCCGATCAGTGTGATTCTCTCATCATTGATGTTTCTCTCTCTCTTTCCCTATCCCTTCCTCTCTGAAATCTGTAAAAATATATTTAAAAAAATAAAAATAAATAAAAAGTGAAATGTAGTAAATAGTATGGGAATTTAACAAAGGTTAATATAATTGCTGTTAATAAAACTCTTATTTTATCTTAGGTGACCGGACTAGTAGTTGTCCAGTGATCTTCATATTAGATGAATTTGATCTCTTTGCTCATCATAGAAACCAAACACTCCTCTATAATCTTTTTGATATTTCTCAGTCTGCACAGACTCCAATAGCAGTTATTGGTCTTACCTGTAGATTGGTAAGTCTTTTTTTTTTTAATTAAAAAATTGTAATGTTTAGAAAGTTAAAGCTTAATTACCAACATAGTCACTTATGTAGGTCATGATATCAGGCATTTTTCAAATGTGTTTCACCGATGCCTGGTGCATTTATCCCATTTTTCAAATCAGATTGAGGAAAATAAAAACACATTTAATCACTCATACTCATAAATACCTGTCTCTCCAACGGAATCACTAAATGAAAAAAATGAAGTCAGATTATGCTAATAAATACAATATTTCTACATTAGCAAGTAAAGAGAAAGTTAAATAATCTTACCATCACTTGATTAAATTCACCAATAGTGTCTATGTTTAACATTTATGATTCTTCCCATATTTGAAAATGCTTGGAATCAACTCAGAATGATACTATTTTAACTTTGTAAATATACACCGCTGGAAATGAGGTTCATGTACTTGTTCTCTTTTTCAGTACCTCTTTGTCTTTTTTTTTAGAAAAGTGAAACTTTTTACAAAGTCATCTTCCAACAGTCCTCCTAGTGCTGTTTTTTCTGTCCAGTGGCTTTTCCCGCCCTCCTTCCCCAGTGCTCCAGAGCTTATGACCTATGCCTTTATAATAAGCCTCCCTCGTAGAACATCGGGCTGGTTCTCCACATAACTATCCTGCCTTGCTAGAAGCAGCAGTCTGTTATGAGGATTGAGGCATCTTCTTCTTGTTAAAAAAACAAACAAAAAAAAAAAACTTCCTTTGGATGGAAGTGGCAGTGGCAAATATTATTGATCCAGTTAAGGACCAAATAAAGCAGGAGTGGGGAATTTCTGGCCTGTGGGCCCTATAAGTACCCCGAAATCATTTGGTCTGGTCCTGCTAAGGCTTTTGAGTTAATTAAATGTTTGACCAAATATAGAAGGCTAATTTTTAAGTTGCTAATTTTGTATGGCCCACAAATGATGTTATAAATATCCAAATGGCCTTTAGCAGTAAAAAGGGTCCCAACCCCTGCTCTATATAATTGATTTCTTAACCTAGCTGTTTTATGAAAATCATCTTGGTAAATTAGAAATCCATATTTCTAGGGCTTATCACAGCTTCTTTTAAAAAAAATAAAACTTTTAATTATAGAAAGTTGGCAATAAACTTGATTTCTAACTTCTTAAGGAAAAATAGCATAAATATAAGTAGTTTCTAAAATATCACCATAGAAAAGCCACAGGACAATAACATACCATTGTCATGCTGTGTTTCTGCCAGTTTCTCTTCTGTAGTTTGTTCCTTCGGCCTAGCATGGCTTCAGCTTAAATTTGTGGATATTTCAGTGATCTGAACATTTCTCCATTACACATACTGCTTACTTAAGTCATTGTTACATAAAAACAATGAAGATGTTTAGATTTTCATGAATGTAATAAGTCTTAGTACAAATTTTCATCTTAATTTTTTATCTGAATTCTTCATAGAATGTACAGAATTCCTTGAAACTTTTAATGTTACTATGACAAATAACTACTCAATAATAGTTACAATTTTTTTAGCAATTATTATAAGTCTTAGAATGTTGAAGATTAGCTGAGATTAACATGGTAGGTAAAACGCATGACATCATCGGGCCTACAGATTCTTAAAGGGGATTAAAGTAGCATGTATAACAGAATCTTTTAGAGCAGGGGTGGGGAACGTCTGGCCCTTGGGCCATATAAGGCCTGAAAAATTATTTGGTCTAACCCTGCCAAGGCATTAGGGAGTGAGTTAAATGTTTAACCAAATATAGCAGGCTAATTTTTAAATTGATAATATTGTATGACCAGAGAATGATGTTATAAATATTCAAATGGCCCTGGGCATAAAAAGGGTTCCCCATCCCTGTTTTAGAGGCTTGGTTTATTTCCAAGCCACACTGTCTTCTACTGCCTTTTAACAGTAAAGAGATCAAGGGAATAATTTGAGTATTTAGTGGTTTTCATAAATTTTTTTTATGCTTAATTGAATATTATAAGATAGGCATTGCTAATTATAGGTAATAGTTTAAATACTTATATTTCTAACATTGACTTTTTTTTAACATGCATCTTACAGGAATTTCTGTTTGTTTTTAAGGATATTTTGGAACTCTTAGAAAAAAGAGTGAAGTCACGATTTTCTCACAGACAGATGCACTTAATGAATTCATTTGGTTTTCCCCAGTATCTTAAAATATTTAAAGAACAATTATCTCTACCTGCAGAATTTCCAGACAAGCTTTTTGCTGAGAAGTGGAATGAGAATGTTCAGGTAACTTGGAGCAAAAGTAATAATATCAAAATGATTTTTGTATCTTGCTATACCATTTGAAAACAAAACTTAGAAATATTTAAAATTTCTGAATTAGTACAAAGCTTCTAATGTACTATTGCATAAAACTGCATGAATACTAATTGTACACTTTTTGTGTGTGCATATTATCTTCTTATAAAAAACTGTTGAAATGTCATAGCTCCTGAATTTTTCTCTCAAAAGAACTTTAATGAGCTTTTTGTTTTATTTATATCTGATTTATATTTTAGGTTATTTTTTTGAAGCGTTTCCATCACAAAAATTATTTTTATTTTACTTTTTAAGTTTAGCAATATATTATGTTAGTGATTCATATCTACCTATCCAATGTGGATTTTTTCCCCCTCTAATTCTCATAAAGAACTTTATCTTTTATCTCGTCACGTCTATTAAAAGGCAATCCAGGTTATGGCAGTTGTGGTTATATTATATACATTGACGAAATCCATATTGGAGTCCATGGAGCCCTGAGGTTATTAGCTACAGAGGTACCTTCATATGTTGTTTTCAAGATTTACTAAACATGTGGACTCTGTTGATTTACCTACACTTCAAGCTTAACTTCTACAGACCACTGTTATGTCAGCCCAACATATTGGCATTAGTTTGTCTTATGCTGACAAGAAATTTCAGTTGGCAGGGAGAAAGGGAGAGGAAGTTCAATAACATAATTGAAGAACAGTGTTGCTAAATAAAGCCCACATAGTAGAATCTTGCAAAAATATGGGTCCTGTGAAAGTGGAAAATAATAACAAAAAAGTCCTTCATTTTGAAAGCATTGGATAAAACTGGTATGTAGTATTAAATGCTAATGAGTGAGGATGATTAGATATATGGATAATTAGAGTTACACAATTTATATTCACTGCCTCTAAAAAAGGATTGTTCTATAGTGAAGTAGTATTGATTTTATTCTTAAATAACAATACCAAAATAAAAATGTATTTATTTTTCTCTTATATGATTGTTTTTTTCCCATCTTTGTTGAAGTATAATCAACAAATTGAAAACAGTATATGTTTGTGGTGTTCAATTTAATGTTTTGATATACATATACATTGTGAAATACCACAATCAAGCTATTAAATATATCCATCACCTCACATAGGTATAATTTTTTTTTACTTTTAAGTGTGAGAACACTTAAGATCTATCCTGTATGTAAATTTCAAGGGTACAATACTATATAGTTAACCAGTCACATTGCTTGCATAACTGAAACTTGATTCTTCTTTTAATAATAAAATATGGTCTGCTCATGTTAGCATTAGTAATTTTGACACATTTCATTTTTTAAATTAAAAGTTCATTGAACAAAATATAATCAGTTCATAAGAATATATGGTAAAAGAAGTTTCATTATGTCCAAACTCACCAGAGTAATTATTTAGTTTATAGCAATTCAGACTTTATGTGCAAAAACTAAACTTGTTTTTATATAAAGGGTTTAAGCTTTACATATTTTTTAAAATACGGTTTTATTGATTTTAGAGAGACAGAAAGGGAGAGGGAGAGATGGAAGCTGCCCCACAACCCAGGCTTGTTCCCTGACTGGGAATCAAACCAGCGACTTCTTGGAGCATGGGTCGATGCTCAACCCATTGACCCACACTGGCTGGGCAAACTTTACATATTATTTTTTGTTTTGCCTTTTATACTTTGTTCTGATTAATAATCCTATATTATTTTTCTTAATATAACTATATGGAATTGTGTGTAAAGATGGCTAACTTTATCCTTAAAATTCAGATATTGTACCTTGGTATAATTAGGTGTGGGTCCTCCCTTCCAACTTCTTCCCCAAATTAGTCTTTCCTGGGACTCAGATATTTGTTAGCTCAGGCACGTTTTCTTTGATACTCTAACTATAAGATTACATTTTTTAGGAGCACTTTATAATTAGTGCTCCCACGTTGTCCCTTCCTTTTCAAAGGTCTGGAATCTCTGGTCTCTGAATCCACTTTTCAGTGAGTCACAGACTTTCACCTTCTGCAGCTCTTTAACTGACTGTTTTGTTACAACAATGGGTTTTCTGAGTGCTTTAGAGATTCGAATGTAATCTTTCATAGTAAATGTTTGTGCTGTCCCAGGACTTCTATTTCTATCCTTGCTCGCTTTCTTTCCTAAAATGACTGATGCCATCATCCTTCTTTCTGTCCTTCCCAGATGCATTATATTCTGATCATCTTAGAGTGGGCATGTATATAAAGGAAGTATATGGTGGGTGTTACTGGTGAAGCAAACTCTGGATGACTCAGAAAATGGGTAACCATGTGGTTGTAAAGTGGCTAGGCCTAAGTTTTTTGGTCCCCTTTTTGCTGATCCTATATCACTGAATTTAGCAGCAGATGGTAGGAATGAATGTGAGCACTATCCTGTCATCTTCTTGACAACCTTGTAGACTTTTATAAAGTAATACTAGTACCACTGGAGTTTGTGTCTCTTAGTTCTAATACTATTTTCCCCCAACCTAATCATTTGCCACCTTTTGGTATGCTAATAAATGAACTTCACTTGAAAAATATATCAGGACCATGGCCAGAGGCCCTGTCCTATGAGTGGTAGTGGAGTGGGGACTGCATTAAGGGAGCTATCCTTTCTCTCAGTACTGACTGTTCAGGAAGTTTTTCTGATTCCAAAGTTAAAAGCAATGGTATAGGTCACCTATGGAATCTCACCCAAGAACTATCTTTAGGATAGTGTTGAATCTAGACCTCTGAATATCATTTATACCCCAAATGAGTCAATAAGTAAGAGAGAGTATGGCAGTGTAAGAGAAATCCCTGTATAAATGAACATTTAAAAGAACCATAGCCAATTCTCCTCTAAGGAAATTTCTCCAAAGTACTTCAGGGAAGATTTACCTATTGTCTTAAACCTTTCCTGTTTAGTTAACAAAAGGTGAGAAGTTTTAGCAGGAACTGACTAGGAGATTAGTACATATGCTGCTGCCTCTAAGTTATCCCTGGAGCAGCATGGGTCCTAAGGTGCAGGTGTAATTCTGTAACATTCTGCTTAGAATCTTACCTGAGGAAGGTACTGGCCTACCACACTGTGCAATCAGCACTATGAGAACCTGCTTCTGTGGCAGCTGTTCATGTGTTCATCAGTGAGAAGGAACGGTATCAGCTTCCCTGAACAACAGAGGGGGTCTGCTTTATTTCTGGGAACTCCCCCATTTCCTGTGAGTGGTGATATCAGTCAGTCAGTTCTGTCTTATTCCCCTTACATTATTTCCTGGCCCAACCATAAGAAATTGTCATGTTTCAAAACCTGAGATCTAATATCTTCAATAATTATCATAATTAGTTAAATGTAATAGGCATCCAGTAAGTGGTTATTGGTAATAATAACCGTCTTCAGGCAGTTTATAATGTTTGAATTAAAGTGAAATAAAAAATATGATGAGGTTTCATTTTTTAATGGCTCACAGATAGATCTTGTAAGCTTCTTTTAGGCGGACTAATTATGGAAGCAAGAAGATGATAGCTTTCAGAAAGAAGGGGCATTGGATTCAGACCTCTAAAAATAAAGAGATGAGCAGAAAGGCAGAGTACAGAATATAGAAGACTAACTCTTTGGCACATTATTCTACTTATTTATGTTTTAATCCTCGCCCATTGATATGTTTTTATTGATTTGAGAGAGAGAGGAAGGGCAAGAGAGAGAGAAAAACATCTATCAGTTGCCTCCTGTACGCCCTAACTAGGGATCAAACCCACAGCCCAGGTATATGCCCTGACCCAGAATCAAACCCACAACCTTTTGGTGTGTGGGATGATGCTCCAACCAACTGAGCCACCTGGAATTCTTGCTGGAAAAAAAATATATCTTGCATCAATATATTTGTCCCAGAGGATTTACTTTCGTTCTTAAGTGCTCTTATTGTAATACAGAAACTTCATAAGGGATTTGATGAGAGTCAATAATTGCAGAAGCCAGGACTGCAGTTATTTTTCAAGACTTTTTTATTTGAATTACTTTGCTTTATTTTAAGTTTATCTTATGTATCTCCAAAGGGTATTTGACGCTGTTTATGAAAACGGGTATGTATAGTGACAGTAAGCTCTTTCAAATAGAAAGAGAATAACTAAAACATATAAGGAAACAGGGACTATAACTAGGATAGTATTTTTACTGAGAACACAAAACTTTATTTCATTAGATTAGAACTTACAGTGGGAGAGAGACATGTAGTTTTAGCTCTAGAAAATACAGAAATAATCAGTACTTAGTTTTCTCTCTTTTTTAAGAAAAATAATCCTTATTCTTTGCAGATGATTTATTAAAAATTAATGTCAATCTTACCCAAGGCTTTCTTGGCTCTGCCAGTTTTGAATTTATTCTTCTTTCATTTCATCTTTTTCAGTGCCAAGTGTACCTTATTTTTCATTAATCCTAATTTACTGCAGTCAGTTGGCTCTTTTAGATAATGCTTTTCAAAGGGTCTCTGAATTTCCAAAGCCATTAGCTTCCTCTCAGAATATATCTCAACTGAATTAGAAAAAGTGTTTTACATCATTGATCACCACTTGCCTCTTGAAGTTTTATTCCCTTGGTTTCATTGTTCTTGCTTGTATTCTCTTCCAGTCTTAAGTATCTTTCTCAATCTTTTACTTTGCTTCTCTCTTTTCTTCTGCTTCTTAAACATTGATAATCCAAGTTTTCACTTCTTGACCTCATCTCCTCGTGGGACATTCTGTATGCCATGGTATCATCTCTGATTTTTTCTTTCCCCCTCTAACCCCTTTCTCCTCCATTTCTCACCAGTTGATTCTCCATCAGACATGTCTTTTATAAATGTCTTAATTTTCTCTTGTTTTTACATCACTTTGTTAATTCAGATCTTTTTGGTCTCTTGTATGAACAGCTACAGTCACTTCCAATTAGGTTTTCCTGTTTCTGTCTTCATACACAAATTATTTTGCCAGTCACTAAAACTCAGAATTACATGACTGCTTATCTTCTGTCAGTATGCCACAATCTTTTCTGCTTTACTCATGCTGTTTTTATATATATACTGGAACGTTCTTTTTTCTTTTTAATCTATTGACTCATACAATAAGCATTCTGCATACTTTGTTTTCCTAAGTATAGTAGCTCTTATTCTCTGTTGTGTGTTTTTGCTGCATTTTGATCATGCCACTGGTATCACTGTGTAGATTCCCTTTTCAGACTAGAAATTCACGGGTAGCAAGGATTGTATTTTATGTTTGTGTCAACTGAAATCATGTAAAAGGATAAGAAAATCATTAAACTAGTAATTTGATTTTAATTTTTGTGTTCTAAGTCAGACCAATACCTATTTATTAATGAATAGAATTAATGAGGTACACCAACTAGTGATGCACAAGATTATATTTAAGTTTTAAATTGTAAGATTCCTTAACTCTGCTTTGATTTTTCTCTCCAGTGTCTCTCGGAAGATAAAAGTGTGCAAGAAGTCCTACAGAAGCATTTCAACGTCAGCAAAAGCCTGCGGTCCTTACACATGCTATTGGTTCGTATTAGCTTTGTTTTTATCACTTTTTTAAACTTTTATTTCACAAGACAATTATATTCTGTTGGGAATTCATTAAACCTATAAATTTTGGGAGAATTATCATGTTTACTACATGGAGTTCTCCAGTCTCTGTCTGTGGCACTTTTCTCCTTTTATTTAGTTCTTTGCTTTCTTTCATCATTATCTTATAATTTTTTATCCTGTTTGTACATGTTTAAAGTATTTAACTTTTTAGAGCAGTTGTCCATGATGTTTTGTTTTTAATTTTGGTTTCAGCATGCTCTTTGTTAGTATATAGAAATGTGATTGATTTTTTTTATGTTGATGCACTCTGCAAACTTGCTGAACTTATTCTAGGAGTTTTTTAGATTTCTTGAGACAGTCATGTCATCTGCAAATAGAGAGGTAGGTTTTTTTCCCCCTTACCAATCTGATTATATTTTATTTCTTTTTCTTGTCTTGCAACATCTAAAACCTCTCAAAAATGCTAAGTAAGTGTGGTGAGGATGGACATCTTTGCCTTGTTTCCTATCTTGGGAGAAAAGCATTCAGCCTTTCACTGTTAAGTATAAGGAAGCTATAGGTTGTTTATACATTTGTTATCAAGTTATGCTAATTCCCATCTGTTCTTAACTTGTTGATAGTTTATTATAAATGGATGTTGGATTTGTCAAATGCTTACTCTATCAATGAATATGATCTATGATTTTTCTTCTTTAGCCTGTGCGGTGTTGGGTTGCACTGCTTGACTTCTGAATGTTGAACTAGCTTTGCATACCTGGAATAAATCCCATCTTGTTATGGTCTTAAACAAAGTAATAATATCTTTTAAGCTTAAACATTATCAACGAAGAAGTACTTTATCCTGAAAATGAAAGCTCTTCCTTTATTAAGAGTATTTGACATTAGCCTAATGTTTCTAGAAAATATCTGTGGCAAATATCTTTCAAGGAAAAACTAATTTTGTTTCATGAATTTCTTCTTGGTCACTTTCATTTATTATAATAATAGGTATCATTTATTAAATAGCACTTGAGCTGGGAACTATATAGTTGCTTTACCAACATTTTGTCTATTTTTTTTTTTAATCCTCACTGGAGGATATTTTCCCATTGATTTTTAGAGGGAGTGGAAGAGAGAGGGAAAGACAGAGAGGAATACCAGTGTGAAAGAAACACATCAATTGGTTGCCTCCTGCACACGCCCTGACCAGGGCCCAGGCCGGGGAGAAACCTGCAATCGAGGTTCGTGCCCTTGACCGGAATCGAACCTGGGACCCTTCAGTCGGCAGGCCAAAGCTCTATCCACTGAGCAATCCAGCTAGGGCAGATTATGTCTATATTTTACCTTTGGATATTTTTATCTTTATTTTTTAAGAAACTGCGGCTTCTTATGATGCAATATCTTTTTTAAAAAAATAAGTTTTTGATTTCAGAGAGGAAGGGGGAGAGAGAGAGAGAGAGAGAGAGAGAGAGAGAGAGAGAGAAACTTCAGTGATGAGAATCATTGATTGGCTGCCTCCTGCACGCCCCCTACTGGGGATGGAGCCTGCAACCTAGGCATGTGCCCTTGTTTGGAATCAAACCCAGGACCCTTCGGTTCGCAGGCTGACACTCTATCCACTTAGTCAAAACAGCCAGGGCATGGTTAATTATCTTGCCCCAGGTCACACGGGTAGTAGATGGTAAACCCAACCCAAAGCCAAGGTGTCTGGCTTCAAGCTTGTATCCTGCTTTACTCTATGATTCTGCTGTGTTTATTTACAGATTCTCCTTTTCCATTTCTGCTTTTGGTGAGGAAATTTAAGAGCTTTTTTTGTATATACTTTCTCATTAGAAATCCCCCTCCCATCTTGCCATTTTCATTAACAACTGTCTTTCTTACAAAGTAATTTTGGGATTAAGAATTTTTAGAGTAGTATTTTTAATTATTTGTATATGAAAATTAGACTTTATTAACTTACTTTACATAGAGAATACACACACCACACATACATGCAACATAACTATTCATATACACACTTCTCATTATGATAAAATCTCTCTGCCTTAAAATTGTCAGCATGAACAAATACTTTTCCAGTTTTCTGTTACACTTCTCATTCGGGGTAATGGCTTGATTTTTGTTTCAGCTTTTCATGTTTAAGAAAAGTTTGGAATTGGTGGAAATTATAAAGAAGAGGGAATGACTTGACTGAGATTAATTATAGTTTGGATAATTTTTCAACAACCACCACAACAAAATCAGGAGTTATACATAGAAAAAAAAAAAGAAAGAAACACTTTCATTGCATATCCAAAAGTAAATTCCAGGTTGATAAACCTATATGTCTGTACAAAAAGTTTAAAAACTTTATAAAAAAATGTAAGAGAACATATTTGTAATCTTGAGGTAGGGAAATATTTCTTAGATAAAATACGCAAATTCCAAGCCATAAAAAAACAGATGGATAAAGTTTAACTACATCTAACTTTTAAATGTAGACTGACTGGCCAGGATGGAGATTTAAAAAAAAAAAAAAAAAGCTGATTGGGAGAGGGTGTATGCAATGCATCTAATCATCAATACTATCCATAATAAATAAAGAGCTTTTATAGTAATCAGTAAAGGAATGAGCTAAGAGTACGAGCAAGCCATTTAGCATTGTAGAATCCCACATGCCCTATAATATACAACGATGCGTCACCTCTCCAGTATTCAGGGAAACGGTACAATTTAAACTTTACATAATTAAACACTAGAGTTAAACCTTTTTTTCCTGCCAACTGGTAGGTGTCAAAAGTTTATATCTGATGGTGCGGTGTCTGTGACTGTAGAAATGCGTTGCTGCTGATAGTGTGAATATGTACAGGGACTTTGGAGAACAGTTTGGCGAATTAGATATCTAGAGTAACTCAGAAGCACAAGAAGGCGTAGAAAGGTTGTTTATTGCAGCCTTATTCATAATTGCAAAAGAAACGAGAGGTGTTCATCAATGAAAGAAAAATAATTAAATTGCAGAGCAATACAATATAACAGGAAAAAAATGAATAAACTAGACTTGACAACTTGATGTGGATAAATTCTCATGATAAATGTTCAATGGAGAGAGAGTTGCAACAGTACAATATGATATTTATATAAAATTTAAAAATTACTCTGTATAGTCTAGGAAACCATGCATAGGTAGAAGTACATAGGTAGTAGGAGACGTGCATTTTTATTTATGCCTGGCCAGTTTGCCTCAATGGTTGAGCATCATGGTTCAATTCCTGGTCAGGGCACATCCCCAGTGGGGGGCATGCAGGAGGCAGCTGATCAATGATTCTCTGGCCCCCTCTGAAATCAATAAAAATAATACATTTTTTTTAAATGTGCATTTTTATTTTTGTATACAAAGGAGAAGAGAGTTCAACCAAGGAAAGAGACAGGGGCTTCAACTGTATAAGGTCATATTTCGTAAGCTAAGGAAGTGGTCGTGGTTATTGATTATATTATTCTCTTGCCTTTTTGTGTGTCAAAAATATTTAATTGTAAAATGTAAAAGGACAGGTAAGAGAAAGGGAATGAAGCAGGGGAATGAAGTTCAAATAAAGTGGGCTCTGCTTTCAAGGAGAGCTATTTCTGAGTGTAATTTTGGTTTTTATCTTTTTCCTTTTTGAACAATTGAACATAAGGTAGCTAACTTCTTTCTATTACTTAACCCCGACCTGGACTGGCAGAGTTGGTGGTTAGAAGCTATGCACAAGTCACACATCTGCCTTTTGGTTTGGTTTGGTGCGGGGCTTTAAGTTGTATTTTACTTAGTTTTGGTCTCTGCTTGCCCTACTCCTTTTTAAATGTTCTTCCTTTGAGGAGTGTAAGTAAGATATGCAAGTGGGAAGGAGTAGAGAGAGCAGCAAAACTTTTTTATGCTTTACATTTATAGCTATATGGCATATGAATTTAAATACTAAATTTTAGTACAGCTAAATATGAGAGAATACTTTTCCCAAGCATTAGTATTTACTCTCATAAGAGTAGACTCTCCAAATTAAAAAGTGTTGTTCAGTAATACCGCCACATTTCCCACGTAAAGATGTAATTGTTTTTCTGATCCCCATTTTCCTAGATGCTTGCTTTAAGTCGTGTAACCACATCACACCCATTTATCACTGCAGCAGATTTGATGGAGGCAAACCAGCTGTGTAGCATGGACTCTAAAGCAAATATTGTACATGGTGAGAAACCTACCTGATTAATAATTTTTATAGGTTTGTTTAATGGAGTGCATTTCGTAATTAACCTTGGGCATAGTGCTTTATACACAGACTGCTTTTATATCCACACTGCCTTTAACTCGGCCCTTTATAAGGTGTTGTCACTCCCACTTAAAGTCCCCGAAAACTGACACTGCCTCCCTTGCCACATCGGAAGTCCAGCTAGCACTGTATTGCAGGTATTCTTACTGCACCCGGTGCTAATGAAGAGCATGGGCTTTTAGCCATTTGGGGGTTTACTGTCACTTTTGAGAATCTAATGAGCCATCTCTTTAGGAAAAGGAATTTAGATATAATTTCTTGGGATTTAAGGATTCTTTGAATAATCAAGAGTCCTGTGTGACTTAAAGTTACATATGATTGCACAGTTTGTTTACTGTGGGCCATATGGTACGTGCTTAATTCTTCTAACATCTCCGTAAGTTAGAAAGATCCCTATTCTGTTGATATGAAAACTAAGCTCAGGGAAGTTGAGTAATTTGCTTAAGATTAGATGGCAGTAACTGAAACACGTTGGGACCTGGGGGGTTTTGACCCCTTTCCACCCTTTCACTTCATCATTTTGTTTGAGGGACAGTTATTTCAGTCTTTGTATCAGTAAGTAAACTATAACTTATAGTTTGTTTACCTTTTACCATAGGTCTGTCAGTCTTGGAAATCTGTCTTATAATAGCAATGAAACATTTAAATGACATCTATGAAGAGGAGCCCTTTAATTTTCAAATGGTCTATAATGGTGAGATGAGACTTGGGTAGTTTCTTTCTGACTCTACCGCACTGCTTATTGGAGATCCTGACTTTGTCATTGCTTTCTGTCCAGAGTTTCAGAAGTTTGTTCAAAGGAAAGCCCATTCTGTCTATAATTTTGAGAAACCTGTTGTCATGAAGGTAAGAGTCACTGTTATTTTTCTGCAGGCTGGTATATTTTTATATCCAATTTGATTGTCTAGTTGACCCTTGAACAACATGGGTGTTTAAACAGTGTCCACTTATACATGAATTTTTTTTCAGTAAATATTGTAAATGTATTTTCTCTTTGCTATAATTTTCTTAAAATTTTCTTTGTTCTAGCTTCCTTTATTGTAAGAATATAGTATATAATCTATATGACATACAAAATATGTGTCAATCAACTGTTTGTTATTGGTAAGGCTTCCAGTCTACAGTAGCCTAGTAGTAAAGTTTTGGGAGAGACAAAGTTATATGGGGATTTTTGACTGGGTGTGGAGGGTTGTTGGCACCCCTAACCCCAGCATTGTTCAAAGCCTAACTATATATCATAGTTGCGCAAAGTTAGCAGCCAGGTGTTTTGGTTTGTGGGAGTATACTGCCCTCTACTGTCTGTTCCTAACACTTACATCCTGAAAAGAAACATTTATAGTCTGTGAAATATATTGATACAGCCCTATCCCTTTATACTCAAGGTTTGGCTCGGCTCTATAATTTTAGCAGTAAAAAGCTACAAAAATGCTGACATGAGCCATTAAGAAACCAACAGGCGAAATCTCACTGGCTGGTGAAAGCATATAGAGAAGGTTTTATTAGGGGTTGGGTGACACAAGGGTTTTAAAACTTGAGAAACTTTATTCTTGTGTAATATGTATTACCCACTAAAAATAAAATGTGAGCCATATAATATAATTATCAATTTTCTAGTAGCAACAAAAAATAAAGTGAAGTTTATTTTAATAATAAATTTTATTTAACCTAATATACCAAAATAGTCCCTAAATATTCATTGGAAATACTCTTTAGATTCCATAAAATTTTTAGCTAAAGAAGTAGATGTAGCCCAGGCGGTGTTGCTCAGTGGTTGACCATCGACCTATGAACCAGGAGGTCACAGTTGGATTCCCTGTCAGGGCACATGCCCAGGTTGCGGATTCCATCCCTAGTAGGGAGCCTGCAGGAGGCAACCGATCAATGATTCTCTCTCATCATTAATATTTCTCTCTCCCCCTCACTTCCTCTCTGAAATCAATAAAAATATATTTTACAAAAAATATTTACATATTGAAAGTGTTCTAAACATAGTTAATTTTTTTTATTGACTCAGGCATCGGTTTTTACATTCAACTTAATGAAAATGAAATAAAATTAAAAATCGAGTCCCACATTTCAAATGCTCAGTAGCCCTATGTAGCTAGTGATTACCTTATTGGACACCACAGCTCTAGAGGACTTTATGAGAAAGAACTTTTGTTTTAAAGCAATGGACCCATACATCCCTTAGCATCCCCTGTAGACCTATGTAGTCAGAATTTTATTTCTTGTAGCAACCAAAAAGTGTTGGGGCATTGCCATTTCTTCACAACAGAAAGCGTATCTAGCACAGTGCAGGTGGGTTTTCTCCCCCTTCCTAATACCCATGTCTGTCTGACAGTCATGGCTTCTGGGAGTTGTGAATGGAAAAAGGTACCTGAGCATTTACATTCTTAGGAGTTTCTACATTTAAAAAACAAACATTTTTGCTGCCTATATTTTAAATCTCCTTAATTTTATTCAGCCCCAGCCTTTTGTATTTTTCTCATTTTCAGAAGTGGCATCTGAGCTATTTGTTTCATCAGAAGAATTTTTATGATACATAGAGAATATGTTCTAATGATATTTTTCACAATAAAGCTGTAGGAATAGAAAGCTCAGGAATTGATTGTAATGTTAGTATTTACATTTAGTATGTCATGATTTAATGGTTTGTTTTTTCATAACCTAATAAAATACCTAAAACAATCATCAGGGTTAATAAAGACATAATATGTGTGGTAAGAGGAAACAGAAGAGAGCCCTATTAAGGTGGGGAAGATGGAAGGAAACTCTGACAGGTGGTGGCAGTCTCCACCAGACTCCTTAGGGGACAGGAGCTGGCCTCTCCTCCATTGTGGTCCTCTGCTGAGTCACAAGGTCAGCTGACAGGCTTGCTGTGCTCCTAGGGCTCTTTCCTCTCAGCTGCATTAAACTTACACAGCAGTCTTACAAAGGTACAAACAAAATATAAGTGCATATTGGAGTAATTTTAAGTCAAAAAGTAATGGACTTAGTGGATCTTAGCTGGAAACCCTTCATTAACTTCATCACTAGTAGGAAATATGATAGAGAATAAGATCAGAAACAAAAAATGAGATTAGGAAAAATCATGGTGTGCAGACTGGATTAAAATGTGTCCTGTTTACATTCAACAATATAGTGACAGATAACTAACTATATATTGACGCTGTTTCACCTGATATACAAGTTTTTACGAAGTTGATGGAGAGTTGTTTTTGATTATTGATTTCTATTAAGTTTTGTTTTCTGGCATTCTATTCCACAACTGATCAAAATCCTTAACTGTTCTCTGGGTTGTTCCTCTAATGAACCTAAACTATTTTTTTTCATCTTTCAGGCCTTTGAACACTTACAACAATTAGAATTAATAAGGCCCGTGGAAAGAACTTCAGTAAATGCACAGAGAGAGTACCAGCTGATGAAACTACTTTTGGATAATACTCAAATTATGAATGCTTTGCAGAAATACCCCAACTGTCCTACAGATGTTAGGCAGTGGGCAACATCCTCACTAAGCTGGTTATAAATATAACCCATGGCTTCAGTCATGTAGTTTCAGGCAAACTTCTCTAAAGAACTAAAAGCTGTTGTCCTTTAATAAGATGTGTTAATACATTTTTTATATTTATAGACATGTATTTTTGTATTTATGGGGAACTGTTACACAGGTAGTATTCTTGGCTATGTCATGTCTGTAAATCATGAGCAGTTACGTGATTTATAATTCCAGTAATTTAGACTATGTTGAAGTAGAAGTTAAAAAAAAGTGACTATTTCTTAGATATTGAACCATATACTTATTTAAGTTATGAAGTATTTTTGTGTTACATTTGAAATGTTCATTTCAGTCTAGCAGCCAATGTTTTTATAAACATTAACGAAAGCATTAAAGAAACAACAGCAAGCATTGATATGTAGAGTAATTTTTTTAGTTTTTTTCTGTACCATGGAAATGTTGGATTCTATTTCAGACCCAGGTCTAGTTCAGGAGCTTGGCCAGTTTGGCTAGAAGATGCTTCACACGGAAGTAAAAGGCCAAAAGTTTGGACATTTTCCTCCAGACTTCTCCGACTGTGGTACTTTATACTACCTACAGAAGAACCCCTTGAAGAGTTGAAGGGTGTTCTTAAATGCAGATCCTTGGGCCTATTCTAGTCCAAAATGATCAGAATTTATGTTTTTAAACAGGTACTTTACGAAATTCTTGAAAAACCACTTTCACAAAGACTGGGGAATGTTTGGCAGTGTTAACTAAATCTATATCTAAAAGTAAATCGCAAGAGGGATGTGGAACTGTCAGCCAAAGGATCACCTTATAAATTCAGGAATCCACAAGCTAATACAGCCATGTATTTAAAGTGGAATATAATAAGCATTCGTTAAGTGTTAGTGACTTCATTTATTCAGGATTATTTGATTGCCTATTGTTTTCATGGAAGGTTTACAGAAGGCACTGTCTCTAACCTTGTGCAGTTTGTAATACTTGTAACTGTCAAAGACGATAGGATGTTTCAGTGCCGTTACCTGCAGATGAAAAATCTAGCACAGCGGTGGCAGTGTTCAGAGTCACAGTTCAAATCGGGTTTGACATCAAAGTCCCTGCTATTAATAGGTGAAATCCAGCAAAGGTTTCTTACCATGTGTTTTTTAAAGAATACTCCAGGAAATGATTTATCTGGTTTTTAAGAAGTCTTGGACATCGAATAGAAATATCTGTGTGTAATAAAAGCAGCTCTAGTTCTTCAGTAGTTACAACCTATTGTTCTGCACACTTAGCGAGTCATGCCCTGCCCCTGACTAAGTCTTCAGATCACTATCACTTGCTTTTCAGCAGTCTCACTAAATCTCAGGCTTACATACTATTTTTGTGCAATAGTCTAGATTTTTAGGGGATGCTTTGCCAACATAATAGCTTCACTATTACTAGAAGCAAAGATTTTATTTTACACTCGAGCTAAAATTGACCCTTTAAAAATTTTTCTAAACTATTTTAAGGCACTGACTGCATAAATACTTGAAGAACTGACTTGAGGTTTATAAATTTTTATTAGGCTAAATACCACTAAAAGACTGAGAGCCCTCCCTCCTCTGCCTCCCTGGTACATATAAGCTACATTAGATCCATCAGCATGCAAGTATACAGATTAAAAAACTAAGCAAGGTGGGTTTTCATACTCAGTGAAACAGAAAGCAAGCCATCCCCTTCTTAAGTCATCAGATTGAAAACCAGGTGTGGAAGAAGAATTCAGTGCAGTTTTTACCATGACTCCCCCCCCAGGTGCCCTAACAAAAACAGGTTCTTATAAAACAAATCTATATAATAAAAGCCTAAGCAACCTGTTATGGCAGAAGGACCAGAACGACTGGTTGCTATGACGCACACTGACCACCAGTGGGCAGACGCTCAATGCAGGAGCCGGGTTCACAGCTGGTGAGCGCAGTGGCAGTGGCGGGAGCCCCTCCCGCCTCCTCGGCAGCGGTAAGGAGCAAGGGCTCCCTGACTGCGAGAGGGATGTCCAACTGCCGACTTAGACCCGCTCCCAGGAGAGGGCGCAGGCCGGGCTGAGGGACTCCCTAGCATCCCCCGCCACCCGTACACAAATTTCACATACCGGGCCTCATGTTTTAATTAAAGAAATACTTTCCAATTCATGTGCACATGCATATGAATGGCTCTGAGGAATGAAAACCTGTTGTGCAAACTTACTATGTCATAATGCTATACATATTAAGTGTATACTGTATTAGCTTCCTGATAAAGATAAATCAGTGTTTTGCAGAACACATTGTGGAAAACAATTCCAATATTCCTGTAGATTTCACCATTGTTCCCATTTTCATGTAGTTTAGAAGACAATGCAGGTTCTTTCAAACCACCATAACCTAAGTGTTGTCCCTTCCTTTGCCTTTACCCTAAAAACTTGAGAATCAGTGTGAACTGTAACACTCCATGTGGCATTGTGGGGCTTTTCCACTCCCCCTTTCTTCAAAAGCCACATCATAAACAAAACTTTTGCAACATTAAATATGTAAATGGAAGCTGGCTTCCTATTACTGATTACCCAAAGTGAAAATACCAGAATTCTTCCATCCACTTGGTAAACAGGTTACAAATTGGAAATGTATATCTTTGAGGGCTATTTCCTAAGCCACATTTTTTTATTTTCATATGAAGAAGAAAACTAATGCCAGCTAGCCTCTGGCTTCCTAAAACTGGCAGGACCAACATAAATACTTTAGTGGGAATACAATCTGCTTAGACGACAAAGGAAGGAAATTCCATAACTGACAAGCCTTCCTTTCACCTTATCCCCATTCATGCAAATCTCAAGGTGGAAGCCTCACTATAAATTACAAAGCTACTACTCCCCTCTTAAGAACATTTATAGCTAAAGAAAAACTGCATATGCAAATCATACTATATTCACTTTTTTTTATTTAACTTGGGGATGGAATGGGAATAGCATACATTTTATTTGTACAATATTTAACAATCACTTATCCAAGGTGGGGTTTAATGGGGCTTTTTTTTTTTTTAGCTTTTTGTTAAATACTTGCAGAAAAAACAGCAAGTACAATTTGACAGTAGTACAACAACCTGTGCCCAAAACACTGACAAGAAATACAGAGTAAAGCTAAATAATTGCTTTCCAATATTTTGAGAGGTAACAAATAGGATATGGGTTTAGACTGCATAAAAAATGTACTGCTGGTTGAATATCTGAGGTAAATGATGTTCAATCAAAATGCTACTTGTATCATTTTGCCCATAAATCAGTAAATAATTTTATGCACATTATACCAAATGTTCCTAAAAAGTAATTTTTTTAGAAAGGTAAAAAAGAGAAACTGGAAAATATCTATGGTGAAGCAGTTTTTTTTAAAACAGTAATCAGTTTATCCCACCAAACTATCATCTGGCCAGGGTTTTTTCCCATAGCACCTGCATTTTACTTAAATGCAGTTGTTATGTAGGGATAAGGAAAGGGGGAAGAGATTCTTTTTTAATTTGATGATATATGATTCTATTTTAAATTCCAAATTTGTTTGGGTTGTTTCCTGATTGTATTTTCAAAACCATCACCATGAAGGATAGTTCATGGGACCAACAATTGTAGGCACAGTCTCTGTTCTAGAATTCACAAGATATCTATAATAAACACTCAAACAAGAATCACACATCACATGCTGAAAACTTCCTAGCATCTAAAATACATACAAGAGCTGTGCAGGGCATTGACTTCGAATAAAGCCAAATACCGGTTAATCCATCATCAGTCCTATGGCAGTTGATCATAAAGCGTTCTTTAGATGAAGATCTGGGCAAGGTAAAGAGTGTAAGTTAGAGCAGCAGTCCGATGGGTATCAGAAAGGCTAAATACAAGACAAATCATAAGGAGCACCATACACATGAGGAAAAAAGGTATTGGAGTCCATTTACCCCAAAACAAAGTCTTTTCTCATTCTTTGATCTTTCTTTTTTTAGTATCCCCAGCTCAAACGTTTTGTTGACTTGCCCACTCTGCCCCAACTGTAAACCAAACATGAAAATGCCCTGCAAAAGAAAGTTCTAACGAGACTGGGTATCAGGACAAGGTAGTCACCAGAACATTCTTACGTAACTGCTTATAAAAAGTTTTTCTAATAACGTTCTCAAAAGGATACAAGCTTTAAAATTGGTTAGTTAAGTACAATACCCAGATTTCTAAAAAAAATTTCTAACTTACAAGAGAAAAATTTATTTTGTGAATAACTGGTCTTATAAAACTTATCTCTAAGTACCCACATAAGACAAATATTCCTCCTGTTTTGGATTTTTAACTTTTAAAATCAGGATTAAATGTTTAGAACACATGTAAATTAGTCTTCAGGAGATTAACAATTTTCATGTGTGAACATTCTGATTATTTTCCTTTCTTGATTAGTTTCAAAGTGAAAGCAAAACCATATCAAGAAATTGATAGGCAAAGTACTTTTTTTTAACTAAAGAGGTGAACTCAACATTGAAATGGGAATTCCTAAAAATGACATGATGACTTGGGCACATGATGTGACCAAGAGAATGTTCTAGATGGTGTGTGGCACATGGGCAACAATGCTATTACTCTTTTTTCCCTCCCTGCTTAGAGTCTGTTGACCTATTTATTTTTAAATAATATAACTTATGATTCCCAGAGAGTGAGTGCACATCATATGTAAAATGTAGTGTACTGTGTGATTAAATAGCCATTTAAAGATAACACATTCACAGTGAGTGCCTGACAGTGACATGTAAAAAATTATTTTATAAAGTTAATGTATGGATTTCAAAATGACCTGACAAAAAGTATATAGTGTAATACTGGTGGTCAGTAATCTAGAAATTCAGGAAATGAATGTTTTACTTTGGCCTGAATAATTTGAGAAAGAATCCAATGATATTCTAATGGTATACTGTTTTGAAAAGCACTTTGACGCCTACCATCAATTCCATTTTCTTATCAAGAGTAAGGAATGAACTATCTTAAATTAATAGAGTCAGTTGTGAGAGCAATTTGCAGGAGGAGACGGCTATATGTGACCTATTTTCAATATTGGTTACCTCTAAATGTCATTGCATATTTTAAGTTATAGGTTTAACTTGTTATCCCTGATTTGTTTTAAAGTGGTAACATCTGAAATCTGTGCTTAAAATTCAGTCTCTATCCTAGGATAATTCTTTACATATCACAGACATCAAATATTACTCTGACAGGATGGCACCAAGCAGAAATATGGTGATAAACTTATAAGTCTCAAAGCAGAGAGTGAGGAATTCTGGGTAATGACACTTCCTGAGGTGATCCTAAAACAGTGATAAAGAATGTCCCACACACTGTTTGGTGAAAAGAAATACACTACAATTTTACATATATAAATAGGAAAAAAATCTATTTTAAAAGAATAAAAATGAAGAGCTTTCCAGTGTCACAGCTCACTTAAAAATTTTAAATCATGCTTTAAATTTTCAAATATTCCCCAAACACAGCACACCTAAAAAAAAATACTTAGGTAAAAATGCAATATTTTGGGAACTGGATATAAGATGAAGCTTTAAAACATGGGAAGAAGGGGGAATGCCACCATTTTTCAATTCAAAGAACAGCACTTTTTTCCTAAAATTACAAGCTAGCACAAGAAAAGCTAAAACACTGCTTTACGAATGGCCACTTACTGTTGGCACTAAGTATAGCTTACCTTTTTTTCTTAAATAACACAGTGAATTTGTAATACCTTGTTACAAAACATGGATCAATTTATTATTCAAATTTTGTTAGTGTTTTCAATTATATAATTTAGCAACCGTGGAACTGAGGTATACCTTGTTGAGGGAGGTTAAAGTAATGCTTGGAAGCCTCTTTACTGTACCCCACTTTGATGACTGTTTATGTACACAGAACAGCAGCACACTAAACATTCACAAGCTGTGTCATATTGGCATTACAATAGTCATTTATAGAAACACAACAGCAAATGCAATAAAAACAAGTTACCCTTTTTTAAAATCTGAAATGAAAAGTTTCTGATTTAAAAAAAAAATAGCAGTAGTTCATTTAAGGAATTAGTGTCTTCTGACAGACATTAGAAATCTGAAGTCAGTTTCAAACACTTGATTAGCCAGGTCCAAAGAGCCTTGATTTGGAGAGGGCCACATTCTTCATGTACACTTTCTCAAAAGTTTATAGAGTTTGCAATGTTTCTCTTCATCTCGTCTTTTCACGTCTCT